CTCTCTCTCACTCTCTCGTTAAAAAAAAAAAAAAAAAAAGATTATGTATGATAGCCATCTTTCTATATCAGTAGTGTTTTTTATCCTTACTTAGAGTTGTTAATATTTCATCATATGGATGTAGCATAATTGTTTTAACTATCCTCTTTTGATGGACACTTTTTTTTTTCACAGTACAAGAAATTGAAAGCACCAGGGGTGCTTTATCGCTGAGCTATATCCCTAGCCCTTTCTTTTTGTTGTTGTTGTTGTTTTTATTTTGAGACAGGTTGCTGAAGCTGCCCTCAAATCTGTGATCTTTCTTAGCCACTAGCCACTAGGATTACAAGCATGTGCCACCATGCCCAGCTTGATGGATGTTTTGGTATTACAAACAGTGCTGCAGTGAATAACCATATTCATATGTCATTTTGATCATGTGGTAGCATACTTGTAGAGACAAATTCCCAGAAGTGAAATTGCTGGGTCAGAGATAATGTGCATTTGTAATTTTGAGAGTTATTGCCAAATTGCTCTCCTTGGGCTTGTACCACTTTGTATTTCCACATCAGTGACTGAGAGCACCAGAGATAGAGAGCAATGACTGAGTGTTTTCCTAAAGCTTTGTCAATATTATCAAATTTTGGATTTTGTTTGTTTGCATTTCTGGGGATCAAACCCAGAGCTGCATGCATGCTAGGCAAGTGCTCTTTTCCCAGCAAAATTTTCAGATGTTTAATGAATAGAGGGAAAATGACCCATCAGTGTAGTTTTAATTTGTGTTTATATTTTTATGAGGGAGGTTGAGCATCCTTTAATAATATGATTAAGAGACATTTGTATTTTTTTCTGCAAACTGTCCTTTGTCCTATTTTTTAAGATTATTATTATTTTTCTTATCAATTTCTTAAAAGCTTGATATATATTATATAGATTACCCTCTTGTCATGCATTTTTGCATTTTGTCATTTATCTTTTGCCTTTGCTTATGGTAATTTCCACCCTGTAGAAGTTTCATCTTTTTGTAATCAAATATATGTATATATATATCTTTCTTTTATATCTTCTGTGTTTTGAGTCAGGTTTATGAAGCCCTTTTATACTCTAAGTTTATAAATTCTTCCATATTTTCTTTGAGAACTTTTGTGGGTTTTTTTTCATACTTAAGTCTTTGAGCCATATGGAATTTATCCTGTTATGAGGTTGGCCGTGCAAATAAAGCATACTTTTTTTTTCCCCAGAAGGCTAAAAATTGTTCTAACATGTCTTAGTCTATTTTCTGTTGCTGTAACAGAATACCTGAGACTAGATGATTTACGAACAATAGAAGTTAATTTTGACTCACAGTTCTGGAGTCTGGGAAGTCAAAGGGCATGTGGTGAGGATCCTATTCTGTGTCATAACATAACAGAAAGGTAGAAGGTCACGTAGAGAGAGAGAAAGCAAGGGAGAACTGAGGAAGCCAAACTCATTTTCAAAAATGAGAGCAA